TTGAAACAATAGCAGTTTTCTATTGAGCCGAAAGGACCGTTTCATTTCCGTTTCCTTTTTTTTATATTATTATTTCATTTTTATTAAATTTCAGTCGCTTTTTCATGAAAAGTTTTTCAGAGTTTTTCAGGAAGGGTTACACAATAAAAGTGAAACGATTTTATTTTCTATATTCCCACTTCATCCATTTCCAACAAATAAAAAAAAAAACGTAAATTCATCGATTAATGAATAATAAAACAATAAGGAAATTGAAACCGTGATTCTTTAATTATTTTTTTTTCAATTAAATTTGAAAGGGTTGGCTAAATGTTCTCAACACTTAATCTTTTCTCCCTAATTTTTTCTTTCTCTCGCAGGTTATTATAAACGTCGCCGTTGTTTTATCGTGGCCACCTATCGGAGGTGTCCTTTTCTCATCCACCCCTTCGTTCCGTCGCGCGCTTTCCAATCCCTGAAAGTCGCCTGAAACGCCACCCTACCCCTTCAATGTACTTTTCGAACTTTATTTAAGTGCTAATTCGTGTAACGAATTTAAATCGACGAAATTATTTATGAGCAATTCAAATCATATTGATTTTATTTGCGCGTGTGTCCCTCTACAACCCCTGTGAAACTCAAACACCCTCACACCCCCTATTTCGCCGTACACTCTGATAAATCGAAGTTATGTAAACAGCTCGGACTCCTAAAAAGCCAATTTTACAAATTTATCAGTCTATAACGTAGACACACTCCATCTATAGATATATTATATAATGTACATCTACGAGGTTGCTGGATATGCACGTACGTATGCGGAAATTTAGCATACCTAGCGTACGTACACACGTGCATAGGAATTAGGAATGGGTTCTCGGAATGTATGCTAACTGGATTTTAATTGATTTAGGAATTGGTATTATCGCAGGAACTACACTGCTGCCAATTATCGTTAAGTTGTTGGATCGCTAATAATATTCTCCAACCCCCTTCGAAACGCGCCGACCACCCTGAACCTCCTCCTCCTCCTCGCCGCACAAACGCTAATAAATTGGATAATCTATCAAAATTCGAATTTGGGGCGCACCGCCAAAAGTGCACGCAAGCCAAGATTACCCAATTAATTACAAGACAGATCGCGATTTGTTCCCGTACAAATAGCATTAACGTATTATATTATATCGCATGAATCACGCCAATCTTTTTTCTTCCTTATGAAATATTGAAAACATCTTGCACAGACAAATCTGCACTCATCCAGTCAAACGGCGAAACCATATATATTTACTCAACGCTGTGGCTGCAGTGGCTGTATTCTCCATGCCAGACCAGTTTTTGTCAGGTCACATCCTTAAAAGTATTGAATCCTTGAAAGCAATAAATAATAGTTATTTCTTCCAAAGATTTTGTTAATCTTTGATACACTTTTAACTATATCAAAGTAATTGCAATCAATCATAATTGAACAGTGAAAGATTACTGTAGATAATTCAGGAACTTTCGTATCCTCATTTATAATGATAATTTTCGTTCTATTCTATTACCGAAGCTTATGCTTTATGTAAACTTGGAATTACCAAATCCTGCACGCACATAATCGCATAAATAACAATGAGCTTTTTTCATTCATTAAACAACGAACAACAACTAAAAATACAATTGGAAATAAATTAATATTAATGGAATATATGTTAGTAATTAATTTGAATTTTGTACATAAACTATTATTAATATTAATTGAGTTTCTAAATATAATTTTATTCCAAAGATTTTGTTAATCTTTGATACACTTTTAACTATATCAAAGTAATTGCAATCAATCAAAATTGAACAGTGAAAGATTACTTTCGTATCCTAATTTATAATGATAATTTCTATTACTGTTATCATCCGAAGCTTATGCTTTATGTAATCTTGGAATATCAAATCCCGCACGCACATAATCGCATAAATAACAATGAGCTTTGTTCATTCATTAAACAACGAACAACAACTAAAAATACAATTGGAAATAAATTTATATTAATGGAATATATGTTAGTAATTAATTTGAATTTTGTACATAAACTATTATTATTATTAATTAAGTTTCTAAATATAATTTTATCAAAAAATAATGTTTGTTAATTTGTATATTTTATTGAAAATACAAAATAAATTTTTCAATAGTTTGTCGTGTTTTCGGGATTCAAATATCTCTGAACACTGTGGAATTTCTCGTAGTTATGTCGTTGTGGAGTCTTAGTGGAGTTTTTAAGGAATGCTAGAGGTGAAGTTGGAGTTTTTTATGATAATAAACACTTTATTATTGACAATAAGGTTATTAATAATTAGATTCCAGTTGCTAGGACTCGGGAGGACTCTCCTCTAAGACTAAAACTAACTTGGACTAGAGACTAGCTAGGACTTTGACTCTTTAAGACTCTTTTGTATTACATAAACATCATATTATATAGTAGTGGTTTAGCATAGTGGGAGTACAATATTTAGTAAGGGAATATAGTACCTAACTTTCCCTAATAATTAAGTGATTAGGCAGATGTACATATTAGTAGTCATTCCCTATTGTCCACAACAATAGTCGTTACACAATGATTAGTTATGGGATCTTCCGAAGTAATATTTGACTTACTTACATACAAATGTATAAAATAATAACGGCTAACATAATATGAACAATAACGGTTATACACAACAAGTTCTATTACGTTATTATGGATAAAGAAAAGGAGAACATCTGAGATAGTAATAGAGGTGATCAGAGATAATATTCGTTAGAAGCTGCGAGAGGAAATAGAGGTCGAGGATCATTAACTAGCATCGCATCATTATTATCTTGAACCGCAGCCATTACACAAGGATGAGGACGATTCATTATTTAAGGTCCCAAGTTTCCTGCTCGCGATTGTTCCTTAAACGATCCCAAATGTGTCTTCCACTCATTTTATTTTATTTTTTCTATACACAACTACTTCCATAAAGAAAAAAAAAATGACAGATTTTCCTCAAAAATTGGATCTATGATGAAGGTATTCTCTCTATCTAACTTTTTTTTCCTTTTTTGGTACGGAAATCTCTTAACATGTTTCGAAGCGTTGCCAATTTGGTTCAACCTTTTATTCAATTTCGAATCCGAAAAACGTCAGTCAAGGGATTTACTCTTTAAATCTTCCTTTCATCCTATTGCTCCCTTTTTTTTTCTCCCTTTTCGACTTCATTTCTTATTTATTGCATCTAAATATGTCTTCAATCCCTCCCTTCTTCAATTGAAACCACCCCCCAAAAAAAACGTCAATCAGAATTATTTTGAAATTTCATTTTTTTCCCGTCACATATTGGATAAGTTTCAAAATCTATGAACTTTCATTTTCATATCAATAAAATAAAAATACTGAAAGTTTATTGAATATTATTACTTAATAATATATTTATTAGCAGAAATCACGATTTCGATCAAAACTACTCAAAAAATAAATATTTTAATGTAATGTTACATTGATTCTTGCACACTTCACATATTTACTTTTGTGGAAATGCATGTAATTACAAAATACAAGGCAATAAATCATATCTAGTTTTCCCTATATATTTTTAAATCGACATAGATTAAAGATATGGAACAGAATCGTATGAATACAAATACTGAACGTCGCACACAACACTATTTCCTTTATGGTTCCATTTGAATAGTTTATTCAAATATGAAAAAATATGCAGTGCAACAACAGATATTTTTTTTGTATGTAAATAATAATAATTTATTGTATACATGCATATTTCATACATTTACACACAAAAGACTTTCATATAAATGTGTATTTTTTTTATATTTATTTTATTAAATTTTGGATTTATTTAATAAAAATTAACTTTATTTATAATTATTAATATGAACAGATTATTCTGTATTATAATCAGAGAGTCGAACCGGAATCGAACCGTAATTAACCGGAATTTTTAACTGAACCGTAACCGAAACGAAGAAAGTGCAAGCAACTACCATTAGAACAAACTCAAATTAAAGTGATTATAAAGGATATTACTGGAAACATTACAATTTTATAATTGAAAACAATAGTAAAGGAATTTTGTAAATAAAAATCAACCAATTTTGCTTTATTTTTCGATAAATTTAAATTTCAACCGGAACTAAACTGAAATTTTTAGACAAACCGAAACCGAATCTGGAACGAAAAACATTTACTTCCGTAAACCGGAACGAAATTAATTTCGGTTCGACTCTCTGATTATAATAAAGTTAATCCTAGTTCTTTTAAATCAATGATACATAAATTAAACGAATAAAACATTGTGTTTTTAATGGATTTCTCCAATTAACTTATTCTTAAAATTGTTAATAATAATAATTCTTATTTCTTCATTACAAAATGATATAAGAATGAAGCGCATAAAGAATTGCGAATTTTTTCGTTGATTTTGTTGAAGCTCGCTCCATCTGTGCGCTGAACTCGGAAGAGGATGAAACAACCCTTACAGAGCGTTTTAAATATTGACGCGATTCAGTCCCCGAAATTGAATCAATCAATCCATCGCGCTAAATTAATTAGACCGCTCCGAAATAGCACATTTTAATCGATCCGTGCACCTAATCCCGCCGCGCGCCCAATTAAACTAAGTCAATTCCGACCGGATGAATAAATGATGCCGAATCCGGGGAAAACCTAATAACACTCGGAAAGATTTTAAATAAATCAACCTCCGCAGCAGTCACCTACCTACAAACCAACCATTAGTTCCGCGAAAAACGGAAAAAAGAGATATTTTTAAAACGTCCCTTAATAAATCATCATTTCTGCAGGTCGCAATTTGGACCGAAAGTGTTTCATTAACGTTCGCTTCATCTATTTTTATAGAAACATTTCAGAATTTTGTTAATATTTAAATAAATCGACATTGATAAATTTTGATTTTTAAACAAATCTTTAGTATATTTCATATAACCGAAGTATATTGAAGTAATTGCAAGAATTAGTAGGTGAAATAAATATAAAATCTTATTGCTTTTCTTCGTTTTATTTGATAACAATTACATACATAATAATTTATACAACAATAATATTACATCATCCTCTTCTTCTAAAATGGTCCATGATAGGATCCACGTCGTACAATTCCGTTCATAAAATGCTGGTGCTTATTGTCATTACATTAAATAACAACGCTTTTCATCATTCTCCCTTGCTTTAAATAACTTATCTTACAGTATTTATTTATATATATATATGTATAATACTTAATCTTAGCAACCCCTTAAGTAGTTTCCTTTTTCTTCTTCTTCATCAAAAGAGTGCGCCAAATACAATTACACGTCATCATCGCTATTAATGGAATCAACAAATTTATGTACAAATTACACAGATTTAAGGAATTGACCATTTCAATAAATTTTTTTTAGCTTGTCCGAAACACACTAATCAACGAAAATTAATATCTATTTATGTGTATACATTCATATAAACCAATCGAGTTGCCTTCGATCATATATTGGCTTCCAATTCTATCCCACTCTCAATTTGGAACGGTTGGTGGACTGGGTGGTCGTGATCCGACCGTGAAATCCTTGTATTGTGAAAACACGCAGATCTTCAAAAAACAAAGTAAATGTTAGTATGTATAATAGAGGAATTTGGAAGGTTTTTGTACCTTGTCCTTAAGTTGTTGGCAAAGCTGCAAACCAACTGTAAACAACACGAGGACCTCGTTCAGCCACGGCACCGAGCACTCGGCGTGATTCGAGTCGAAGTCCATCTTTCCATGATTGTTACTCAACTGGTATACAGCGAAAATCAATTTGTGGCTCTGGATGTAAAAGCTGATGGCCAAATCCTCAGCCAAATTCGGCGACAACGATTTCTAAAAAAAAAACAAACAATAAATTGTTGGATAAGTAAATATTATTTGAAATAATACCATATTGCGACTCTTGATCAGATCGTCGATGGCCTTCTTTCTTGGCACAATCAGACTCGTCCTTCCTCGCTGCAGACTTCCAAGTATGTTACCCAATATATGAAGAACTTCATCTGAAGATCTATTTAAACAAAATTAATATTAACAACATCAAAATCAATGTGTTTGAACGTACTTGAATTTGTAGTTTTTAGCTACATCGTCAAGATGGTAAATAGCTTGCTGAAGATGGTTAGCCGCATCCTGCACCTGCTGCAGCTTCCACGGGCTATCCGTCTGGATAGTAGTCCGCACCACAGAGTTTTGCTGTCTTTGCACTTTAAAAGAAATATCTGCGTAAGTTATGCTATCTCCAGTTAGAGTCACCACGCATTTCAATTGATCAGCAGCCACGGACAGGATAAACTTGTCCTGCCTGATGGTATTATCCGTTCCGTATAGCGTAACAGGAAATCGCCTTGCACATTCCTAAAAAATTAAGAAAAAAAAATAATTATTATAAATTAAATTAACTAATGATTCAAATAGACTAGATGTGAATTGGGTTGCCTATAATAAAAGACCAGGATATTAGCAATCAGCTGTCATCTTGACAGCTAACAAAAAGTACAAATAAACACTTTCATAAATAAATATTGAGTTTGTTTTGGACGTTCTATAGTAACGTAATAACGTTACGTTGTGGCAACTGTTTGCTCAGCTTATCTCTAATGGAATGGCATGCATTTCAGATCTCCACAAACACAGATAACTTTAGGAAACAACTGAAATGATTGAGTAAAACACTTGGGAGGCTATGCCAGATAATATCGATTAATGTAGGTGGAACTTACGATTAGTATCTGATGGATCTGGTCCATGGCCGTGTGCACCTCTTGGTGGAGCACCCATTCGAACTCCTTCTGCTGTTGGGAGTAGAAACAAACAAAATTCAAGGATCAATCGATATTACGATAAACCACATAACCTCGTTTCAGCAATAGAAGTCTTGAGGGATTGGAATAAAGTCGAGGACTTACCAGATTCAGGGCTTCCTCCTTCTCGCACTCGGACATGTTGCTGCAAAGATGTTGTTGGAAAACTTAAAATAAAACTTCTGCGTTAGGAACAAAGTCACCAGTCATGTGCGAATTAAAATAAAAATAATGTTATTTTGTAGCGGACATGACACATGCGCGCACATTTTAGAAAGTTGTACACTATGCAGATTTAATCGATTTGCAGGAGGGACAAGATATTGGAACTACCTTTTTACATTATTTACACTGTGCCAGTTGAGTGGGTTATGGTTTCGATCGACAGCACTTATCTAAAAAAATGATAACATATCATTATAATTGAGTGAAGATTGACTGGTTGTATACATTAAACTCACAAGTAACTCCTTGTCCGTTTTAATGTTGTTTTAATTATTAACTAAATTAACTAAAATGGAAACAGTTAAATTATTACATATTTATCCATATATGATATTTATTATATTATTGCTTAATAACTGTATAATATTATATGTTGCTAATAAATTATATTACTGTTTACTTAGTGATAAGATTATTTTCGAAATTTTTAAATTACATAAGAAATTAATTGGAAAATAATCAAAATAATTAACAAATTTATATATTAAAATTTAATGGATTCAATATTCATATACAATTTTTTTTTATGAAACTACATTACATTTTCGAAGACGTTATTTTTCCATCAGTTATTTATGAAACAACAAAGTTTGTTAATTAATTATGAAGACGGTGTAGCAGCTATAATACAATATTTACGCTAATTTGAATCTATGTATATTCAAGATTAACATCCATGTCTAAAATTCTTCTGGGAACTCAAATTTACTAAAATACAAGCCATTATCTAAGTCGTTGTTTTCCTATTTGATCTTTAAAGATTATATGTATGTTTGGCTGTCTGCACTTTAGGCGCAAAATATATATTCCATTTCTTGTGACAGACAGCGCCATCTGCTAGCAATATATCAAAGGTTGTAGTTCAGGCATTTTGGCGCTGCACAAAATCCACTTCCTTAAAAACGTTCAATTTTAAATAAACAAGCATGTAAAAATAGTGTACAAATGAGTCTAATACTAATGCTTCCGTCTAATAATCGAATTGCTAATTATTTTCCGAGTAATTTGTATTTTAATTTCGACGTGCAGATACATCTGCTGGAATATTCAGGAAACATTCGGCAACCATACATACACTAAAACAAGAAAAGTTTAAAAATTAAGCAACTTAACGTATATCACTTTAAAATGTACTGATTTTCTCAGGAACTTTAATAGATTGAAGTGATCCGAAAGATGCATATGAAAGCTGAATGTTTGAGGAATGTAGCAAGTATTCACACATTGCTGTGTTGTCATCCGTTTGGCTGTAATACGTGTTTAAAGTAGAAAAAATGCTCGAAAAAGTAGTGTTTTCACATTTTAGTGATTTTCTCAGCAACTATAATAGATTGAATGGATCCGAAAGATGCATATGAAAGCTGAATGTTTGGGAATGTA